TTTTTTTTTTTTTTTTTTTTTTTTTTTTTTTTCTATTAACATTTTTGGGTTCATGAATTGTTTCCATTCTCTTGCACTTTTAAAATGTATCAAACGAAAAAACATAAATATATTTTTTTTAGTCATATTTTTCTTTTTTTATAAAAAACTATAAAATATTTTTTTAAATTACATTCTTCAAATATATTTTTTAAAATAATAAACAAAAAAAATTATATATATAAATATATTACAATAATAAGAAAAAATATTTCAAGTTGTTCTAAGAAAAAAAATTTTGTAAAAATAATTTTTTTTTGAATTTATGCTTTATATATATATATACATATATTATATGTTAACATTAAAAAAAAAAAAAAAAAAAAAAAAAAAAAAAAAAAAAATATATTATATACTCAAAATTTTTATATTCATAATATGATATATATATATTAAAAGATGCAAAATTTTAACATGAATAATTTAAAAAAAAAAAAAAATAAAAAATAAATTAATATAGGAAAGAAATTATAAGATGAAATAATGTTTAATTATTTTTTAAAAAGTTTCAATAAATGTAAAAACAAAAATGATGTTATTCATATAAGTGAAAAATTTTTAAAAAATATTTTTCTCTTTAATACTTATGAAATATCTTTGAGTTTAAACAAATTTTCAAAAATAAATTTTGATGATAAAATATTTTGGCATAAAGTATGCTATTTAATTACAACAAGCGATGATAAATTATTAGGAAAATTTCAATCATTAAGAAAAGAAAAAGATGAAAAACATAAACAAAATGATATATGTGAGAAACATAAAAAGGATGATAAAAATGATATAAATAAGAAAATTTTATTAAATAGTAATGTTGAATATATAAATAAAGAAAATAACAAAAATGATAAATTAATAAATTATTTTAGTACAGAAGAGTTGTGTTTAATTTTAAATGCATTATCAAAAGTTAATGTAAAAAATAATGATATACTAAGATTAGCATCAGAAAAATTATTAAAAGAAATTGACTTAAATAAACATATAATAAATACAATTAAAGCTATAAGTTACTTCTCTAATGATAATAATATCAATCTAGAAAATGTATTAGAAAAATTTTCAAAAGATTATCAAAATTTAAATAATTTATTAACTGAAAGAGATATTAGTGTTTTAATAGAGCTAACACTTAAGCAAAATAACCAGAATGAAGAAAAAAATAATTACCCCTTATTGAATGAAAATAAAAAAAATGATACAATTAAAAATGATGAGAACGAAAATAAACCAAATGAAAATTGGAAAAATCAAAATAATTCTAATAAAAATTTAAACATTTTAAAAAAAAAATTAATAACTGGTTTAAAAAAATTTAGCTATATAAGTGAACAAAGTATAGCATTAATTTTAAATGCATATAGCAAATCTTTAGAAAAAAATAAAAAGTTATTAGACATACTTAAAATAATAATAATATTAAAATTAAGAAAAGAAAATAAATGCTCTGATATTTTTTTAAGTAGTATAACTCATTCTTATTCCACTGTTTATTATAAAGATAAATTGTTATTCAATGAATTAGCTGATTATACATATAAAAATATAAATAATATTAATATAAAACCACTTATAATAATTTTAAATAGTTTTATTAATATAAATATATTGAATATAAAATTGTTTAACGAAAGCTTAGATAAATTAGCGAATAAAAAAGTAATACTTAATTTATCAAATCAATGCACATCTAATGTTGTTACTATATTTACAAAGTCTTACAACTATTTAGATAAAAAAAAAATTCATTTTATTTTTGAAAATATTATAAGAAGAATAAAAAGAGATTATAATTTAATAAAAAAAAATAATTACTTTAATAATTATAATGAGGATAACAGTAATAAAACGGAATTAAATAATATTAGTGGTGTAGAGAAAAAAAAAAAAAACTTTAACAAAAATTTAGAAATAACATTTAATAAATATAAATTTAAAAATTCATTTAATAATAAGAACATATTTATTTTTAACTTTTTAACAAAACATTTAACAAATATCCTGAATAATTTTAGCAAGTTAAATTATGCAGATACTAATATATTTCAGATTTTTACCTATTTAATTTTGAGAAACAAAGAGAATATTAATAAGTTAGATTTTCTTAATATTACAAGTTCTTATTCTAGAAATGCATTTTTAAATACTGATATTTATGATATAATCAAAGTTAATTCTAAAAAGTATATTTTAAATAATGATTTAAAATATGTAGAATTCATAAATTTATTTACAAGCATTAGCACTTTTTATATAATTGAAAAAAATGAAAATAAAAAAAATTATAACAAAGAAGATTCAGAATTTAAAGATTTAATTAATTTAATGATTGATAGATTAAAAGAGAATAATAATATTCACATAAATAAAAATGAAGAAAATTGTTTAAATAATAATAAAAAAGATTTTTTAAAAAATATAAGTAATAATTGTGAAAATAGGGAAAGTAATAATAATAATAATAATACTAATAGTGATGATTTACAAAATAATTATTTAAAATATAGTTTATATAAAAATAAAAGTGATAACAATTACTTTTATTCTAATATAAAAAATAAAAATATTTTAGATAATTTGTGTGTAAATCACATATGTAGTATTTTATCTTCTCTTTGCAAATTAAATATTCATGACAAAATTATATATGAAAAATGTGTAAAAAATATTAAAAAAAAAATTTTTAAAATAAACTCGAAAAGCTTAGTTATTTATTTATTATATGTAAGTAAATATAATATAATTCCAGATAATTTTATTAGAACAATAATATCTAATAGTTTTAAACTGATGCATACAAATAAATATGAAAAAATATATCAAATAGAAAAACAAAAAAAAGATTCTTTTCTCATAAAAATGTATAATTTATATTTCCAATTACAAACAAACGATATTATAAATTCAATATATATTATTAGATGTTTAATCAAAAATGACTTTAATTACAAAAATAATACTTATATAATTTATCAATATTTACTAAATATTTGTAAAATAATGCAAAATAAAAATGTTCAATTATATAATAAGAAAACTGAAAATAATACATATAATAATATAATTAAAATGGACGATATAGATTTTGAAGAAAATATCCTTATGAAAAATAGAAAATTAAATATTCAAACTTCATGTATATTAATTAATAGTTTATGTTTTTTACTAACACATCTTTATTTTAAAAATAAAAATTACTTTAAAATAATTACATTCTTATTATTATATGCATTTGAATATTTATTTAAAAAGTTAAATTTTTATAATTTTAGAAAAGATTTATTATTTAATTTAACTGATCAGCAAAAAATAAATGAAATCAAAAATATAATTAAGAATAAAATAGATTCTGCAAGTATGCGACAACTGAATATGTCAATTTTAATTTTATTTTATTTGAATTCTTTAAATTCAATTTATACGAGAAAAAATAATTTATATAATTATCCTATTAGTTTATTAAATTACTTATATTTTTTTTTAAAATATAACCCATTTACTCAATTTGAAAAATACTCATCTATATATAATTCTTTAAATAACAAAAAACTTACTTATAATTATGATTTACATTTTAATAAAAAGGAAACAAAATTATCCAATTCTAAAACTCCAAATATCTCAATTAATGAAATAAATATTTATCAAATGATTTTAAATATTCTAAAAAAAAAAAATCTTTGTGATAATTACAACGTTTTTTCTACCTATAGTATATATATGTATTCTGTAGACATAATAATTAAACTTAAAGTATAATCATACAAAAAAAGGAAGAAAAAATTAATAATATATTAATTATTTTAAATAGAATGTATTTTTTGAATTCATATATATATATATATATATATATATTTGTTGTTATTTATATAAATATTTAAAATTTTTTTTTTTTTTTATGTTTGTATATATTAAAATTATTTTATAAATATATAAAAAAAAAAATTTTTTTTTTTTTTTTTTTGAGTTTGAATATAAGTTTTACTATATTGGTATAATATGTAATAGAAAAAAACAAAATAATTTAAAACATTAATATGAACTATTTTAAAAACAAAAAAAAAAAAATAAAAATAAGAAACCAGGAATTTACCTATCTGACTAAAATGTTAAGAAAAATACAAGCTATTCATAATTTTTAAATCAATAATAATAATAAAAAAAAAAAAAAAAAAAAAAAATTTAAGTATTGAAGAATTATGATTTACTATTAATGTTCTTAAAACAAATAAAAGTGGAATATTTTTATACGCATAGTAATTTCTACATATATTAATTCGTATATATATATTTAAAAAATTACATTATTTTAATGTTTTACATTTTTAATCAAAACTTGAAAAAAATAAAAATAATAAATATTAATAGTTATAAAAAGTTTATACTATTTAAATATATATATACATATATAGAAATATACATATTTATATTTTTTTGTGAAAAAAATTACAACATGAATATAGAATTAGATTTAAAAAAAAAAATTGATAATATAATAATTAATTTAGATGGAATTAATAAAATAAAAAAAAGTAATTTGAATTTTATATTTGATGAAATCAAAAAAAGCAATAATGTAGAAGAATTATTTTTTAATATAAAAAAGTGTAATTATAAAATAGATAATTTAAATATTTTTGATGGTGATCCTATCGTAAAATTAAGTAGTTCTAATAAAAATGTAATAATAGATTATAAATTAAAAGAAAGAAAAAATAATTATATGATAGGAACAAATGTAAATAACAGAGGTGAGGTAACTGCAGATTTTGAAATTAACATGCCATATATATTTAAAACAATAAATAGTGCTGAATTAAAAGCAAATATATGTAGTTTATCTACAAATAATTTTTCTTTCCGCCTTTTAATTCCACATTTAAAATATTTAGCAAATTATAGACTAATATTAGAAAGTAATATAAGTAGTATAAATAATATAAAATGTTCTTCATATATAACTAAAATGAATTCAATTAAAACATATCTATTAAAAAATAATCACTCACTTATATGGGAAGTTAATTATAATAAAATACTTCATAATATAAATAAAAACTTCATACCATCAGAAAAAATTTTAAAATTGTGTGATCAATATATAAAAAACACAATAAAATATAATTATAAAAAGGACAAATTAAATTATTCATTAAGTAGTGAAAAAAACGAAGAAGTAATATATTCACATTATCCAACTTCTGGCTATTATTATGAAATAGAAAATGAAGTGTCTTTGCCTTTTTGTGAAGCCAAATTTTTTAAAAATCATATTAATTTTTTGTATATAAAAAAACTAATAGAAAATCTCTATGCATATTTTAATATAAGTAACGGAATTAAATATGATTATGGAAAAAAAAATATTTCGTATTTAAATAATTTTAATTTTACTGGAAGCATAGGAAGTTCACTAATATTAAGAGGATTTGAGTATAATAGTGTTGGTAGCACAGAGGAATGTTTTAAATTTGATAAAAAAGAAAAAAATTATAAAATAAATTATAATTATTTAGGTGCTAATTTTTTTTCCAATATTCAATTTATATTTAAATATATTTTAAATTTTAACAATATTAATCCGATATTATTTTTTTATCTACAGTTAGGAAGACTCAGTAATAACTTATTCCCTTCATTTAAACAATTAATAAATGATACTAGAATTTCAACAGGTATTGGAATAATGTCATATATTCAAAAAAATATTTCTTTGGAGTTATTTTTTTGCTTTCCTTTATGGTATCAATTAACTGATAAAATAAAATTTTTTCAAGTTGGATTAAATTTTAAGGGAATTTTATAATTTAAATATATATGAAAAATATTAAAAAATAAAACTATTTATTAAATTTTTTTTTTTTTTTTTTTTTATTTTCACTGTAATTATTCTTTAAAATCATTGTTTTTTATTTATTTATATATTTACTTATTTTTAATTTTTTTTTTTACTGAAATGTTTTTAATTTTATTTTAATATTTTACACAAAGTATTATTTATGAACAAATATAAAAAAAATTAAAATAATATTTCATCTTGTCTTCTTTTACTTATTTTTTTTTTTAAGTAATAATTCATTTAATATATTTATATTATAAATACAATAAAACATTTGAAACAAAAAAAAAAAAAAAAAAAAAAAAAAAAAAAAAAAA